AAAGATTCCTGCAGAATGCGGCGGGAAAAGTGCTTCTTTTCCTGCAGAAGACTTTCACTTCCCGCGTGAAAATGTTTCATTTTTCCCCCAGGAACTTGCGGAATCACGCTCGTTTTTTTTCACTGGGATATTTGGAATTTATTTTTCTCCACATTTTTGAGAGCAAATTTTATTTTTTCCAAGATTTGGAAAAAAGGTTGGTTTACTTTTAACTTTAAATTTCAAACCAAAGACAATAGATATTTCAAGAATCTTTTTTCTGAAAATGTAGAGTATAAAATTCTTTATCCAATGGTATATAGGTCCATTTTCCTAAACTAACATAAAATGAGAAAAGTTGAAAGTAAAGAAAAGTGTGCTAAACTTTTGATGCATGGCAAAAAAATATTTTGTTTTCTGAAATCGCACAGCTTCTTTATAACCGCACATTTTATATGGTTATAATAGCCTAGGATATAGGTTATCTATAGCATACTCTGAAAGTTTTTGAAAAAAACAGGAAATAAAAAGTGTGCTAAACTTTTGAGCGTCACTTTATAGTGTTTGTTCGTAAACACCGCGGGGAGTTTTTTATTTTGACGTTTTGCCCGATGTTATCCTTTCGAATAAAATCTGTGCAGACCAGCATATTACACTAGTCGGTGTGTTATTAATCATGGAGCACGTTGACACAATATTATTGCAGGCTAGCATATAGAGAACTAGCCGGCCTGTATTCATTTCATTGTGGCTTCAGAAACCTAACCGGTGTGTTACTTTCTAACACACACACACAATGAAACTCCCAATTACTCAATACGACCATGTGGTAAACTTTGTGATACAATCGCTGTTGATCAAGATATTGAAGCACGCGCCGTAATTTTCTGGTCTACCCGGAAACTGTTGATCGATGGCTATATGACGACAGCAAACTCTTTCACCTGGCGAAACTCGACTCAAAACATGCGATCCAGCTGCTCCCGTATTATCTGACAGGAGACGAAAAAAGTTGGTAGCACTTGTCAATGATGTACTACCAGTGTATGAACGCTTGATTTAGTTCCCTGTTTATTTTCTTCTTCTTTTCTGATGTCGTTTTCTTTTCGTTTTCTTTTGTTTGTCTCCACTTCTTGTTTTAATGAACCAGAAGGCTCATCTTGCGTCCATGGGGGTGTTATGTCAGCCGTTATTGACATTCCTTCCTATTTGCTGCTCTTGCCATTCATTTCTCATGGCCAGAAAGAATGTTGACTCAGTTCTTGTTGAGTCAACATTCTTTCTTCATCGATATATAATGTTTGTGCGTACACACAATTTCTATTTTGACGTTTTGTGTGATTTTATGCTTTCAAATGAAATTTGTGCGGCCTAGCAATCAATTCTCGTGAATAATATTTAGTATAATATTTTAGCCAATATTGACAAAATATTGAATGTCACTTTCTCTTTCTTTATATCTGCAAGTTCATCATATATAAACTCAAATCTGTTTCAAATAAAATTCATTTTATTAGAAAAAGGACCATTTTTTTCGTGGATTTTATACCCAGAGAACATGTGTAACATATATGATATTAATTGTGTTGAGACAACATTATCGGGTGGTATAATTGCCGCGATTGTGATTGGTTCATTATCTGCTTTAGCTTGCCTTATTGGTATTATTGTTGCCATTGTTTGTGTTGTCAAGCGTAGCCATCGTAAGCCAGCTGGTGGCGCTGTTATACTACAACCCGGGCAATATCCGTCCGGTGGTTATCCTCCTACTTTAAATCAAGGTTATCCAGCAACTGGGAATTATCAAATGTCTGCTCCACCATATCATTCACAAGCACCACCAACCACAACGACAAGTTATGGAAATACCTAACATCTATGATAATATTCAATAGTTTGAAAAATTAAGAACATAGTTAAAATTTAATCTTCAATACTACATTATTTTTTATAAAACAATATTTTGACAACTATACCCAATAAATACACAGTTCCGAATAAACGTATAGTTATTGTAGTACCATTTGCCGATAAAAGGTTCTTGAAAAATAAACGTTTCATTTGAACTTTTTCTAATGATCTCAACAAATTTAGGTAGCCTTAGCATACCTAAAAAATATTTTCCAGCCAGTCACTTTCATTTTACATTGTCACAATTTAGAATCAATAGGTGAATAAACCTGACTACAAAATAGACCGGCATGTCGTTCTATTTTGTCCTAGCACATCAACATTTTGGGATGTTCTTCTAATTTGTTCAAAAGTAAAAAGTAAGTAATTTTGCGAAATTAAAGTATGCCATGAAAAATTATGATTTTAACTTATAAATATATATTATTCCTTGATATTTCGATGCTTCATTGAGTCAATTTCAGACGTAAAATATTGACTATTTCCATAAAACATAGACAAACAGAATGATGTATATACTGTGATTTTAGTATTAATCGGAACAGAACAGAAAAGACAAGAAGAGAAAATGGTGATATTTCGTTTTCTTTTATATTGACTTCCTGACTGTTTGTTCATTTCTTCCTTTTTAACTTGTATCACTACCAGGATCATACATCTCTCCGTCATTTTAAGATAAACCGTCCCCGCAAATACAATTAATGGTACAAACTGAATTGTACCATTTACATCAGGTTTAAAGTGCTAAAATGGAAAGAGACTCTTTGATCAATAATCAATATTCAATTCTGTCCCGTTCAATTACTGAATTGAACGCCTATTATAATTGTCCCAGTCAAAGCTGTGATGCTTGTTCACTATGTTTTTGTATAGTGGATTTTTCTTGATAAAATCAAATTATTAAATAGATGACTGCTACTGTATAGAGAAATCAATTTTGTTTTAATTTCATTTTCTTTCAGAAAGCGTGATTTTGATAGAAAAACTGCTAGTATCCCCAAGCATATTGGAATATAAATTAGAGATAAATAAAGATATAAAATACTGTTTGTTATACACCATTCGATAGATCTGCGTGAGGCCAATCTGATGAAACCGAGTCAATTCACTAAATACCTCCCAGGACAATGAAAACGAGATAAAAAAATGGGTCATTTATGACTCATTAATTGACAATTAATTGACCATTTTTATCCCATAAACGGTATCATTATTTTGTGATCACAATACAAGACTGTATAATTTATTCGGTCGTAATTCAGACCGTTTTTTTTTTTTATTAGGTAAAGATGGTCATTTCTGTGTCATCTATCAGACATTAATGAGTCATTTCTAGATCATTAACTGGATAGTCGATAAATGCCCGTTTTTGATGGGAAAAATGTTTTTTGTGCACGGTTTTTTAAGGAGTAAAAGATATTTTCGTTTTACATGCAGATGGCCTAAACAAACAGGATAATCTACGAAAAGACATCTTGTTTAATATAAACGAGACATATTGACTGAAATGTATGATAAATCTTAAAAATTGGTGTAGAATGAAGTTCACCTCTTTAAATATTATTTCAATCCATACAGTTCTCAATATACTCTAAATATTTTTCTTTAAACAAAAAATCATGTCAAGAAAAGTTTAGAGTTAGATAAATATTTATAAAAAGATGATTTGGATGTTTATTTAAATCATAACAAAGTATCAAAATTTCGAAAGGAAAATGTGAAAGATGGCATTGAAGTTGTTCGTTATGTAGAAAGTATCCAAAATTTAGTTTCAAGTTGGTGTATTGTTTAGTTCTCAAAACGAAATAATTTAATAATCAAACAACACGGTATAGATTCACCTCATTCTTCAAAAATCGTGCACAAAAACATCTCCATGCACATTTCTGTAATCGTGCACAAAAATGTCAAAAGATTTTTTAGTGCACGGAAAACAGCTCGTGCACAGAAAAATCCTCGTCTTCTTCGATGATCACAAATACATCGTTTTTACTTCATTTGTGAGACATGTATCAGTCATTTTTATCTCATCCGAATGATATAATTACGGCCATAACATGATACCGTCAGTTGCTTTAATTGTAGGAATCATTTTATAATCGTAATTACAGCATTTGGACGACGTTAAAATGGTCAAGTATGAACAATTAATGATCATTAAGAAGCCGCACTTTTATCGTCAAACATATTTCCTTATATCGACTTTTACCGTAGTTTTGACATACTACATGAGTTTTATTGATCTGATTTTACTTTTTCACGCTAGTGCATGACCTTCTCTCTTATAATATCAGATAAGTCTTAAGTGGCTGACTCAACAACGACTAGTTTGACGAAATCTACTTAGGAAAAGACTAAACATAGCTTGAAGGGATTTATAGTTCGGATGAAACGAAAATATCGATTAATCTAAACAATAAGCTTTATGAGCGACAAATGTTGCATAGAAGAGTCCATTAATAAAATGTCTTCTGAAACCATAATCTTCTAAAAATCGACCGCGTAGTATGCAGGCATTTTTGTGCTTCCTAAAAAATCGCTCATAATATTAGTATGAGTACACTATTGTTGATTCTATGAAACCAAATTAAGGAAGATGAATCTGATCGGTGGTTCTAAAATCTCTAAAAACTAAAACATAATAATGTTAATGCAGTTTACTATCACTGCCTATCCATATGAAAATTTCCATTATATGTCAAATGATAGAGAATTTAATTCTCTAAAAACTGTATATTTTCTGGACAATAAACGATCTAGGAAAATTAGCAGAATGGATCGCGCATATAAAAAGAAGAGAAAAAAGATCTCATAAAAATAAATTTGTCTGCTTCTGCATAAAGGATTTCGGAAAAACAGACTTTTGTTTTGCGAATTGAATAATTATTTAAGCAAAACCACCCTCAGATGATTTGTTCACTTTACTTTACTTAGAGAATGTAATGTAACTATTTCAATCAACTAGAATCATACTCTTTTATTAAAATCATCATATTCATTTTAAAATAAAAGTCAGCATTAAGATTTAAATTTCTCATAGCCAGAAACTAAGTACGTTCATTCTTAAGTTCTAGAAGTCTTGTTACTTTCACACAAGTTCTTGACTCGGACAAAATAGAAGAGCTGTGTCAGACGTGCAACCGGTACCGGCGCCGGTCCCGGTATGAAGTATAGCGCCGACCGATAGGCCAGTTTACCGGTATCGACATGAATTATAACGGCGACCGGTATACCGTGATTAATATGAAGTAGAATCAGTCGGCCGATATTTTGCGGTATGATACGATTTTGCGACAAACGTTTAAATTCAGTTCATCTATGACATATTTC